CTAGGGTGGTCTCCACATGAAATGCAAGCAAGTGGTATGGTGGGAGAACAGTAAATGTGGCCCAAAAAGCAAGGAGACCAACTTCCTGTCAAGAAAACCGACTGGCAAAGAGAAAGGTGGTCTCCAAGGAGAAAAGGTGGTCTCCCACCCTTGTACCACCTTCCAAACAATAAAAAAAGGGTCCATGCCAAAAATGAACCAAGACGGATGCAAAACGAGGGTTTGAGGGCCGAAACGCATAGCCGGGTGCCCTGAAAACTGACTATTAAGCATCGAAAGTGGCGTGCGACCACGAAGGTGGTCTCTCGGGCTACAGTGTCCCTCTAGAGAGAGGAAACAAGGTGTGTGCCAAAAACCGGAGCAAACGGAGAAAGTTAAGTGGTCCCGAACCGAGGCGTACGACCGACGACTCTGAAAATCGGAAACTGGTCTCTAAACAGGAACAGTGGCCTACGACCACGAAAAGTAGCCTACGGCCACTGAGAGATGGTTTACAAGACCTCTCCCTTCCTTCGGGAAGAGAAAACAAGACCTGGTTCGCAAATCGAGGCAAAGCACAAAATGGTCCCGAGGTCTGGGGGTAAAGCTCTCAGCCAAAACTCCGAAACCTCAGAACGAGCACAACATGCACCATCACCAAGCGCTCAATCGATGACGTCTGAGTCTTAAGGTCAGTCAAAAATGGGGTGTCTATAGTCATGTGGTACCACGTGGTGTGCTGCACAGTGCAGCATAGTGCTGCATAGTAAGGATTTTCTCACCTATAAATAGGTGAGTTGCATGGTAATGAAATTTCAAGAATAACAAACGGGGGGTATATGAGAGAGTGAGCCGAAATCAGAAATGAGAGTAAAGGATCACGTTTGAGGTGAATTTTTTATATTTTGAGCTACCATAAATTGTTTTATATAAATTATGTTTTGCAAATCATATTAGTTTTTAAAGTATTATTTATTAAATGAACCCTATTTGCTTAAAAAGGGAAATTCATGGACATAACTGTTTATTAAATGTGTTTTGCACAATTATTTTGTAAGTACTAGCACGGAGATCTCATGCCTTAGGGGACTTAAATAACCATTGGCCCTTTGTATTGTCACTTTAAATGACCCTCTGTTTGTCATGAACCCACTGACTCTCTGGTTTCTAGTGTGGAGCAAAGTGCTACACAAAATTAAGTGTTATACTATTGTGGGAGTCATCTCTAGAATTTGTATGAGCCACCTCTTGAGTCCATACATTTGTTCTGTTCTGTTCTATTATATATCGTGGTTATGATTATTTGTTTATATGATTTCTGCGTTATGTTTTTATTATTTAAAATAATTTATGTATTTCTGTTACCAAACAAATCTCTATTTAGCCTAAATAATTATCCATGGTGGCTTTTTATATCCTTAAGCTCTCAGTATAATATTTATCACTCGGCTATGTGTTTATAGTTGTCAACCACCTTCAGGTGACGTGTCAGGACTAGTGCATGGGGTAGGCACAAGGCACTTTGTTGTCAAGTTCAGCTCTGGCAATGTAAATGAATAGAAACTCCAATGTATATGTTTCTGTTATAATTAAATTAAGATTTGGGTACCCTTTTATTTTATTCCACTACATTATTAATTTGTTATGATTTCAGTTATTATCTTGTTACAATTAAATCTCTGGGTACCAGGTTTGGATCGTGACACATTGTATAAGGCTCTGTTTGATTAGCAAAAAAATTTGGTTGAAAGTGAAAGTAAAAGAAAATGAAGTGAAAGAAAAGAAATAGAAAAGAAAATATATTTTCTTGCAAACATATGATTAAGATGAAAATTTTGTAAGAAAAAGATAGAAAAGTTTAGAAGTTTAGATATAGATAACTCACACATTCAATTTTTCTTGTGTTTTCTTGTGTTTTTTGCAAGAAATAAAAAATTAGCTACAATGCTAAAAGGGTTTGTACAAGAAAATTAATTTTTTTTATATTTTTCACAATTTTCAAGCTAAATGGATAATTCTATTATACACACTCTCATACTATATGCGACAAATTAAAAATGAATAATTATATTATACACAATCTCATACTATATGCACCCTTAGTTATGTTATTTTTTTTTTAATTATGACCAATTTTCTTCTGTAATTATGACATTATTTTGAAATATTTGGTTATGACTTTTTTTTGTATCTAGTTATGATTTTTTTTTTCCTCTTAATTATAAGTTAAAAAGTTTGAAATTATAACTTTTTTTTATTTTTTATTTATAATTATAAGATGCATATGATATATACGTTTTAAAAGGTGTAGTCTTTCCCATTAAAAATTGATACCCAACCTGTCATGTTATTGGAAGACTTTTTAGAAGTCAAATTAATCTTTTTCCAACAAAGAATTGAAAATGAAACAATTAAAAACAAAACCCAAGTGTCTCAGATCAGCATTCCCAATTCATTGTACCAAACATAATTTATATTTACTTATTAAACTAAGGTATAAATATGGGTATAAAAAGAAATTAAGTACATTTATTTAAAAGCTCCAAATGCAATCCAAATATTACTCTTTACACCCACATTATGCATCGAGAAGGGCTGCTGCTTAATGCCCCTACTTTTCTACTTTGAACCCCCACCTCCTTAATTTTTTTTAATTCCAATTTTGTCCAAACATAAAATTTTATTTTGGCTCTCACCCCTAATCTTTTAACCCTAATTTTCCAAACCCAAACCCTAACCCTAACCCTAACCCTAATCACATCCCCTACTACCTCCGGTAATCACCACCATCTCCGACCACTATCCAGCAGCCTCTAGTCGCTGCAACCACCACTCCCTCTGATGTCTCACCGTTGCGACCACCACCACCACCTTCGTAGCACCTTCACCACCGCCATAGAGAGAAAGAGAGAGAGAGAGAGAGAGAGAGAGAGAGAGAGAGAGAGAAATGGTAGTCACCACTTCTTCACCTCTAGCGAAGATTGCTGCTTTTAGATAAAAAAATCCCAGATCTAGGGTTAGGGTGTTGAGTGAAGAAAAAAAAGAGGAGGATGTTGATGATAATTAGAAAAATCGAACAATCGAAGATTTGTATCAATACCCATTTATCTGTCTATAACAAAAATGACTGATACAATGTTTTCAAAGCTCTTCGAGGATGTTGTTCTCAACATTTTCTTTATGCTCGAAGACGATCCTTGAAACTGGGCTAGACTCGCTTGCATTTGCACTAAAATTCTCTTCTCTCATTTGATTCAGTAGTTCAAGCCTAAACCACCACCATTTGTTCGACAGTCTTCAACCAAACTACCATCATTTGTTCAGTAGTCTGTGCCCGAACCTCAACCATTTGTTCAGTATTGGTTTTCCAAAGTAGGTGAGACGACTTCAAATGAAGAAAAATCAAACACAAGTATAGTGGGAGAGGGCTCTAGGGTTGTTTTGTGGGTGGCGGCGTTGATGAATGGCTAAAAGGGAAAGTGACGACAATAGGAGGTTGGTGTAAGATGGTGGATGGGGGAAAGGTGGTGGTGGTAGGTCTGGTCTAGGGGTGCGCGAGCGACAACGGGAAAGCAACCAGGGGCTGTGATAGTGAAGGAGGTCGTCAGTCTTAGTGAATTATGGTTGCGAGACCGGTGAAGTGAGAGGGGAGACAAAATGTTGGCGTGAAGGTATATTTAGGATTATGATAAGGATCTAAAGAAAAATGAAGAATGGAGCAATTTTGATGGTAAGGGTTCAAAGAAGTGGGAGGTCCTAAGAAGAAAGGTAGAGACATTTAACAGCAATCTACATCGAGATCATCATATCTTACACAGGGTTTATATTAGGATAAAAAGGACATTTTTGCCCCTAAACATTCATAAGTAGAAACTAATAAAAAATATAGATATTTTGTTCATATCATTTCAAAGAAAATGATAATCATCCTGTTTGGTTTTGAATTTTCAAAAACAATTTTCTAAAGTGGGAGGTCCGAAGAAAAAAGATGGAGATTAGCAACAATCTACATCGAGATCATCATATCTTACACAAAAAAAAAGTGTAAATTACACCAACACCCCTTGAGATCTAGATTTAATACATATTTTCTCCTCACGTTTGAAAAATTACACTCATGGATCAGTATAATTATTTTGACAAAGTTTACATTAGGATGAAAAGGACATTTTTGCTCCTAAATCTTCATATGTAAAAACTAATAAAAAGAATATATATATTTTATTCATATCATTTCAAAAAAAATGACAATCACCCTATTTGATTTTGAATTTTCAAAAACAATTTCTTGATTTTTTAATTCATATATTTTTTTCTAATGATTTTTTAAAATATTTTAATCAAAATTTTTTAAAAATTTTTTTTAATCAATTCAGGGGTGATTTACCCTGCAAAAAAAAAAAAAGAAGAAGAAATTTTTTTAATTACATTTAACACCTCTAAAACCACCGGCTACACTGACATTTCATTCTTTACTCTTTTGAGACCGAAATCATGCTATTGTTCCATGAACTGATAAGAAATGTGTAGACTATACTCATCAATCAGCTACTTCTGCTACATAAAACATTCAATAACGAACACGTGACAAGATCAAAAGAAAAAAAAATTAGAACCTGCTAAGATTGTACACACAAATAACCTGTAAGGATAGTCTAGTTGGTTGAGGGCAAGGGATCAGAAACTTAAGAGTATACTCTTCTCTAGGTCTCAGATTCGAATCTCACCCCTAGTTAGCTACCGGCAGACCACTGCGTCTTTGCCTGGTTGATCGGCATAGGGCCCCGAGATTAGTCGAGGTGCAACACTCCGAAGGAGTGCTGGCCCGATCACTCGGTTATCCAAAAAAGAAAAAAAGATTGTACACACAAATATACAAATTCTCACACAATCCTTATTTTTATTTTTTTATATTTATCATCGTCATCATTCATAGTCATCAACATTGTGATCATCAAATCCAACCATGAAATCTGAAAAAAGAAAAATGTCGTACACACATTTTGGCAAGAGAGCATTGCTTCATACAGTACCACTCTTGGCAAGTAGAAGGATTCAAAATAAATTATCAGTCCAGGCAAATGCCATTAACAACAAAACTATTGTACCCACATCAATTCATTCAGCAACATTGCATCCTTCTGGTACAAAAAATGTGGCATCGACACAAGTCTTATCTGTAAAGATTCGTAACTTACAAGTTCACATTCCCCTGGACTACTATCTTTCTAGACATTAGCTATTAACACGAGGCAGACGTGTGTCAGAAAACCATTTAAAGAATGACATTTCTATGGCTTTAGTTTTTACTTGCCACGTAATTTATATAATCATATGACATTTATAGGATAACTATTCTTTCTGGAAGATTGTATATGGTCCTTAATGATATTTACTGCTCTTAGCGAACCAATTTACTGGAAGGGGACTTCATCTTCTCCAACATCCTCACCTTGTCAAGCAACTGTTGGATGGTATTCGATGCATCCTACAAAAAAGAACAATGCTCTTCATGTGGCATCCAATTCTAGGGAAAGGTTAGCAAATAAGAATCAAAGAAATTAACCTTCAACTGCTTTCTCAATTTTTCCTCCTCGATGTCTCGTCGCTCCCTCTCCTCTGAGAAAATATCTATTAAACTTTCTTGCTCCTTGTTCAGTTCCTCAATCTTTTGGGTTGCCTCCTTGAGCTGATCAAAAAACATAGCCAACAGTTTTAGATACCAAAAAATAAAAAAAAAATAAAAAAATAGAATGCCAGGTGCCATGACTCAACAGCTAAAAAACATTGAAGAGTACTTCTGTTGGACGTCCAACCAAACGAGGTTTCCGCATTTGACCATAATTTATCCTTTGTTAAATAATTTATTAGTTCCAAAAGGCTCATGCTTTTGCAACACGATTTACATGAAAAATCAGCCATGATAAAAAAAAAAAAGGTCTGCTAAATTTTTTCAAATGAGGTATAGAAATATTGACGGCAATCTAGTGTGACTGCATATGTGAGAAGTGATGGCAGTATGTTCACTCTGTGTGCATGTCTTTAGCTGGAAAGACATGCAGAGCGACAGAACAGATGTTTCAGTTCCTGCTTGATTGGTTCCAGGTCTGACATAAACACAATGCTATGGTACAAACATTAAAATCCTCTGATGGGAAAGTTCAGCCAAAGCTGTAAAATGGTAGGCGATGACAAATCATCACTCTTTTTTTTTTTAACACCCAAAGAAAAGGTCACTTAACAAGTAATGCTGTTTGGGTGCATGTTTGCGAGAAAATTATCTATACTCCTAACAGTAATGAAGAGAAGGCACATCATAAATTAGAATGCTTTCCTCCAAACATTCACAATCACGATTAGTAATATACTAACATCTATTAAAGACGCTGGCATCGGCTAGTCAACCTGTTAACTAATAAATATAACCTTATTTTCCTCTAAACATTCAGGGCTAGTAATTTATTAAATTACTAACACCTAGTAAAGCCAGGACCAGATTCAGTCACTGGCATCGGTTAGTCAACCTGTTAACTAATACATATATAACCTCAACATATTTTGTATATTACAATTGAAAAACAAAGGAACATATTCAATGCAATAGATATTGCGATATCTCCTATCTATTTCCAAAGAAGTCAAGGTTTGAGTACCCTACAAGACTACAAGCATGAAGTAAAGGACGCTCAGAGTCCATCCAGGAGCAGGGATTAAAAGTAAAATTTTCAGCCTATCGTGCCAAGCACTACCCTATACCCCAACCCTTCTCACCAGAGAGAGAGAGAGAGAGAGAGAGAGATTAAATAAAAGAAACATGAGATTTGCTAATTACCAAAATGTTATACACCTTGAACTGCCACAACTCCACCTAAAAGTTCTCTTTATAGAATTCTACTAACCCCTCCTAATCATCTCCCAAATGTAACCACTCATGAGTAATAAGAAGACTACTAAAATATTTGACATCAATCACGGCCAGCATTGGAGTGGAATATCAGCAACACAAAAGACGGATGGGAAGCAGCTAAAAAGAAATTTTTTATAAAAGAAAAGAAAAGAAAAATATGCACATGGTTGTGGGTGACAATTACAACTGAAGACAAATGAACAAGGCACAAAAGATAGAGACAGCACTTGCCTTAGTTTCAAGTGATTTACACCTATCTCTTTCCAACTGTATGTCATGCAGCAAATCACCTAAAATCTCTCCATCCTTTCTTTTTAATCTACGGAAACAAAAAAGACCAAGTTTAAGAATGGGAGTAAACATGAGGTACAGTATTCATATTTCAAATGGAAGTAACCCACCTTTCCCTCAACTGCTGGTTCTCTTCTTTCAACTGAACTGCAGTATTTGAATTGGAGATTGAAAAAGAACACTCATTTCCACTGACAGCACCTCCCTGCAATTTCAACAAATAAAATTAATGACATTACACTTTGGTCTAACAATTGTGCAGCCATTCAAAGATCAGCAGCCTCAATTCTAGCTACCCTTCCATCTAAAGACAAATGGGAAAAAAGAAAAAAAAAGAAAAAGAAGAAGAATTTAATTTCTAGCAACAGAGGAAGTACAGATACATGCAGAGAGAGAGAGAGAGAGAGAGAGCACAGTATTTCAGAAGTGCATCTATAACCAAAAGGGGCCATTGGTTGGTGCAGTGGTAAATGCTCAGGATGCCAAGCATGAGAACACTGGTTTCAAGTATCAGGCAGGCACTTTGAGCAAATTATGAAAACGTTAAATCTGCACCAGTCTTCCCCTCCCAGCACCTCAAATATCAAGGAGTAGCACTAGGGAATATCCATTTTTAGTGTCATCTAAATGATTATGTGAATTTTAGTAGGGCTATAACATCTGAAATGCCATCTGATAGAACATACATCAATCAGAAGAAGATCCAGCATCAGCTATGTCTTCACATGAAACAGCAACACCGAAACAAAAAAACAAAGAATGAAAACTGAAAAACCATTTTCTGCTTTTTAGTATTTTACTGTTCAAAACAAAGAGTTGGTGATGGTAATTTGGTAAACAGGCCCAAGGTAGAACAAATTTCTAGTAAGTCGCAACTTTACTTTATTGAGGATTTGCATACAGATATGCATTTGTTAGAACCATGCTGAAAACTGGAGAATGATAAGGCATCAAAAATAGAAAGTTGTCCTCACCTCGTAATAAAATTCACAAATTACAGAAAGAAACTGAAGAGAGTCATGAAGGAGATTGTCTTTGTAGGATAGCTTGATTTATATTGTTGGGTCTACTTCCTAACAGCTTAAGCTTTTGGGACAACTGGTGACCTAACATGGTCTTGGGTTCAAGTCTCTCTGTTTGCATTTAGGCCTCATTTGGCAAGTAGTGATTTTAGCCAAAAAACTAAAAAGTCACTAAAAAAATCAAAAAGCCAACAACTTATACCAAAAAGTCAAAGATTCCCTTTTCTCTCTACTTTTTGCACATCTTTTTATAAAAAAATTAAAAAGTCATTCCAAACATACTAGTTTTTTTATATATCATATTTTAACCGAAAAACCAAAAAGTTACTAAAACAATCTGTTCCCAGACGAGGGCTTAGTTCCCATTTGCATTCTTCACCTCTCATTGACATTGTTTCTTCTTTTGCATCTCCTCGTGGAAGACAGATAGGGTGTTAGATAACTTGATATATATTGTTGGGTCTATTAACAGCTTAAGCTCTTGGGACAATTGGTGACCTAACAATCTCAAGAGAGGAAAAAAGGTGCATACATACATGACAAACTCTGAATTCAATGGGATGACACACTAAGCTCCAACAATGATATGATAGTGAATGAAGAGAATATGTATCTCCTTGTCAGCCAAAAACATCTCAGGTCCGTTTGGATAATTGTGGATTTTCAAATCAAGGTATTTGAGGTTGAAAAAAATAAAATAAAATTGAGAAAGAAGATGTATACATTTTAGTAGAATCCTCATAGTTAGAACGAGAATCCTTAGCATGATTTAAAATAACTAGTTTGATATTGTGAATTCAAATTCATCGAGATTAAGCTATTTAACTCAATCTTGAAATTCATAAGTAAACTATTATATCTAAATTTGAGTTATTGTCCTTGAATGATTAAGGTTAATCCCTTGATTTACATCTATCAAAACAGAACCGTAGTTTGTAGAATGATGACACAGGATGTCTCTATCATCATTATTTATTCAAGTGAAAGAAGTACACAGTGACAAGAAATGACCTTTGACTGTGAACATGTGATCCGAACAGGTCTTCCATGTGATGCACAATCTTGCTCTGCATTGACATTCCCCAAATTCATGGATGACCTAGTCACATGAGACCCATCTTTCCCGAAAGACCTATTAGCAGGCAATACCTTCTGAGAATTTCCATTTGCTTTTCGCTCAGGTAGAGCTGTTTGCATCTCATCATCACTGACATTCTCTTCAGAAGGTGTCGACGGTTCTGAAGAATTTGGTTCTTTTCCAGATTTGACAGGGTTATTGGCTCTATTTCCCCCTTTATTGTACATACGTTCATTCCCAAGAGCCTCATCCATCAATTTTGTATGTCTTTCTGATTCTCTTCTTCCCTGCTTTGGATTCAAGGGTGAATGCAGTTTATCTGAACCTGAAATTGGTATCTTGCTGCTTGAGCCCAATTTTTTATTTTTGGATCGAGGTGATGTCTGAGGAAGATAATCTGGAGAAGTGTCTACAAAATTAGGGTATATTAGTGAGAGACATGAAGCTTAATTTGATTGCGAATTTTCTCTACTACAAGGCAAGTCATCACTACATCCCACTTTTATTTACTGCCCAAAATGTAGAACGAAAATTGTTGGCTACTATTAGATACCTCCTTCATTAATGTGCTTCTTATTACGGCGTGGAGCATAGCCAATTTTATGACAGTATGTTCTCCTGGACGAAGAACATAGCAACTTATCAAAGGGTCAAACCTCAAACACAAACCAAAGCATAGTTAATGACAAAATGATCAAACCAGTATGTCTTCTGCATTTGTATCAATCGTCCCTCAAGTCTTGAAAGAACTGTTGTACGCTCAAATCCTTGCTTATCATGAGCTGGTTCGACAAAATTGGCTTCCAACACACCTGAGACAGAAATGATGAGCTTTTAGAGTTTAAGTCAGCTAAATAAAACTCACATATTTCTGGTACAAAAAACAATACAAACCTATAACTCCGCGACCATCACTTCCGGTAGCATTCCAAAGCCTCCAAAATGGCTGACAAAACAACACTTACATGTAAAAACAGTTTCAAAATTTGCAAAACATCCAATGCTCGCATATGTAAGGGTAATGCTCCAGCACATGAACGACCAAAAAATTGTCCACGATTTGAAACAAAAGCTCGGGTTTAAATTACAGTTACATCTTGAACCTATAAAAGGGTCATTTTACATTTACAACATGCAAACCCAAGAGACAACAATAACAATCAATAGAAACAATAAAAAATAAGAAGCAAGCATCATCTGGCATGCAATATAGAAATGATCGCAGCAGGTTTATTCTCATATAAAGGAGGGGGAAAAAACATGGGAATAACAAATCACTCATAAATTTATTACAAAATCAAATCTCAATTAATGGTTTCCAACAAATCCAAGCACAACCAAGTTACAGTTAGCAAAACCAAAATGAAACAGTATACGGCAAAACGGTTTTGGTGATATATTTTTTGAAAATATTCATTTTAGCTAGAAAAGTCGAAATCAAGTTGAAATAGATACTTGCCACAAATGCTAGTTATAAACAAACAACTTGGCCAAAAAGAACAGAGAATATCAACTTCAAAGATTATATATCACCATGTCGATTAACCAGAAAACATACCTTAATGAGCCGATTCTTGTGATAAACATTGAATCCTTGAACATCAATATGAGCTTTTGCATCCTTGACAAACCCAATAGTCACAACAGCAACCATCTGATAACCATAATACCAGATAATCAGTAAATGCAATTTATTACAGAAATTGGGTAACTCAAATTTAATTTCCATCTGGCAAGCATTACATTAGAATCCTTTGGGATCCCATCAGTACCAGGCTGTGGGCGATAGGTAATCTCCTGGGCCATCATCATATCATTCACAACATTGTGGTGCTCAACATCCTTCCCACGAAGAATTATCTGGAAGCTAGAAGGAATTCGGAGATAGAGAATTGATGCATAACTCTGAAGATTTGAACAAAAAGAACAAAGTTAAAACATCAGAGACAAAAAAGGAAATAAATAAAAAGATCAAAATAATAATAATGTTACAGCTTCATAGTCGACACTAATCAATGGTTTTGAAACTTCACACAAGGTTTTAACAACAAAAAATCTACAGTAAACATATATATTGCTCAGTTTCATTTGTAATGCTCTCACATGCCACAGCTACTTTCAACAGAGTCCATAAGTTGGCTAAAAATTCTTATTCACATCCTCCGTGTACACATATGGGTCATACATGCTCAACTAGAAACACGTTATGGAAGAAGCAAATTGATCTAATATTTATAGCAATAGATACAAATCTGCTCGGCACTTGGTCCTCAATTTAATCCCAAAATGGAACTCATCAACCTCAATATATTTGGTGCAGGAAAACCTATATTTAGTTAGTTGTAGAATATACTACAAGGAAGAGTCATGAATCAAGGGTTAAAATTAGAGAATGGGGAGAAGATTTGTAAGATAACGAAGTTCAAGCCTTGTGCTCAATTTTTGCTAATGAAAGTTATAGCGAAAAAGAAAGAAAAATAAGAGAGAAACCAGAGAGAAGAGAAGACTTGGGATCCATATTCAAACCAATAAAGGTGTTCCACATAAGTCATAAACCTTGCATAGACATATATGGATCCCCACATAAACCTTGACTGACTTGTATGGTTATTTAAAACTGCTAGAAATCCTCATACACATATACCTCCCAAAGAAATATCCCACTCACCATTAACAAAATATAAAAGTCATTACGCAATTACTGAGCCAGATCGTACCACAAGAAAAGTACACAAACCTAACTCAAGTAAAGCACTTAGAATATGTGAAATTTAAAAAAGCAAATAAAACCTATCGAATACCGAGAATACTAAACTAAACTAAACCAATAATACACACACTTAAAAATGAATTGGCCAAATGTAAAATAAACCGAGATGATCCTTATTCTAAAAACTGCATGCAAGTGTCCAGGAGACGCTTCTTACCCTTGCATTACCATTACTTCCATATCATTATATCTTGTTTTAGAATTCTTTTTCAACTGAGGGCTTTAGATGGCATAAAGAGTTACGGCAACCTCGACATCAATAGCCATAGGACGATGCATTTAGTTTATGATCACACTATTACTGTATCTACCTGAATCTGTAATGTTAACAGTTAACTCCATCATCAAGTTCACAATTGGCCTAACTAGCATTATCTGCTGGTCTGCAACATGCCTGTGCCCTTCTTTGCAAAAACAGATATTTGATGTTAACTAGAAATTCAATCAATACCTTACCAAAATTATTTTTTGAGAAATAATCTTTTTCAAACCATTAGTTGTAAACACCATGTTATCAAAGTAAACTATCAACATGTACATATAAATAGCTCTGGCCTTTTTCACTGTAATGCCTAAACGCTAACCTGATTCCAGAAATAGCATCTTGGTCAATGCATATATAAGCCTCTCAACCAAGGTGAATGCAGATACTTTGACGCCATATGATGCTTCAGTCAACTTCCTCATCCACCAGTCTCAAATTCTAAACCAAGGCGTCATTCTTAAATCAGTCCATATAAAAGACTCTTACCCAAGGTAAATACAGATAGTTGGGAGGCCATATGATGCTTCTTCAGTCAACTTCCTTTTCCACCCATCTCAAATTCTGAACTATCAAGGTGTCACCATAACACTTCGTGGTCCCATAAGTAGCACAAACACAGACACAAGATGTAGACAAGACTAAACAGGACACAACGATGCCAAGACCACAATTTAAAAATAAAAAAAATTTAAAAAATAAAATTAGGGCATGGACACATTGAAAAATACTGGGCTATGTAAATATATTTTTTTATGTGCCAAGCATGTAGAAAAAGACATGCCTTGGATCTATTTTCTAAAAGTTAACGACGACCAAATTCAAATGATGAAACCATATGTGTAACTATACACATTTATATTATTTTCCTTATATTAAAAAGTGACCAATGGTTGATTTGTACTGGCTGTGGCACTGCCAGTATAAGCTTTCAATCAACCAATAGTGTTATCAGAGTAATGTGGACACTGAAGAAACCCCAGCAATATCACTTTTACTAGGTATATCAATGAACCTCCACCTCGGCTTTCGCATGTATCTTATCCTCTAGAGAATTTTCCTTAAAATTTATACACTGCAAATAGGTCAACATCTCAGAATATCAGTCAAATCCCATCCACCATTCTTCACTGGAACCTTCATTTCCTCTCGTGTGGCCCCTCAGACATGGCACCATTCTTCACTGGAACCTTCATTTCCTCTCGTGTGGCCCCTCAGACATGGCATTCATCTCCCATTTCCCATTCTATTTCGGAGCAAGTATTTCTCATAAATCCATATATTATGCATAATTCAAACCCATTGGTCACCAAACTGGTTTTTTACAACAAAATCGTGCTGCATACGTTGTAGTGAAAACCTATGTTATATGGACTCTTCAAAATAAATCAAAAACCTATGTTAGACACCTGAAACTTGGACAAGGGTGTGAGATATTTGTCCAACACTTTCCATCAAATACTTATATATTTGTATTTAACATTATCCTTAGTTGTATAATTGCTATGAAATGAGTAAAATGTCTTTTTGACACTATATGTTACCTATAACACCATTTTATCTCACATAATAATAATAGATTCAATATAAAAATATGACATTTTTTGGTCGAGTCCATGTACCAATAAATTTGAGATTTGATGGGTCTGGCTTCTAGATATTAAACATCTATACCTGACACCCATACCCGAGTCCTTGTCACATAGGTGAAAACCCCCTAAATTATAACTTCCTACATACCATTTCTTTTTAGAGCCTTCAGTTCCTCGCAAATTGCCAAATCATTTGGACCAATGTTTCATTTTGCAAGTGGAGTACCCAAGCCCCGTTTGGCAAGTTGGGTTGGTGCTAAAACACCCAATAAGCCAAAACACCCAATCACAACTCTCTTTACTTTTCTGCATGTCTTTTCATAAAAAGCCAAAAAGTCAACTAAAATAGCCTATTTCCAAACACCCCCCTCAATTTGAAAAGCATTAAATAACTGTTAGAATCAACTACTTTGTTCTCAACTAGCTATAAATTATTCAACTAATGATTTCATGTAATTGTTCTTCCTATCACAACCCTAGCCATTTGTGTGAAGAGCTATGAAGCATAGATACTTCTAGAAGGGAAATGTTAATTTCAAAGTATCAGATTTTTCAAGTCATGTGTCATAACTTCTACAAAATTGGAATTGTAGCATTTCTTGCAAAACAATTTGTGAAGATAAATACAAAACTATTTTTCTAATACTTGGCTTATTGCTTTGATAAGAAGAACACGGTTAGTTAAAGTATACCCTACTTTTCAAAATGTGTTAAACTAACATATCCTTATTGTATCATGTAGAAAGTAAGGATTACTTTTTAATATCATTAATTAAATAAGCAAGTGAACTTGCATTAAATATTTCGGCATTAACACTAGCACAAAAGGGAAAACACAAGGACAATTTGTGGATTGTTTTGTTATTATAATATAAACATGTAAGACTTGATATTGAAATGAAATATTGCAACACATACTGAAAATTTAAAAAGTAAACTAATTACTGACTTAAATTAATACATAATTCATAAAGATTAGTAGTTTTCTTCAGAAAATTATATTGCTTTCTCAGCATTCTAGAGCTTAGGTGAAACTCACTACCAAAAACTAAATAATAATAGTGTTTTTTAGAAACGTATCCTAGTTATACCTGTAATCTTATTTTTTTAAAGTTTTGTTGTATCGCCATATATGTATCCCATATCCTTATCGGTGCTTCATAGGTAAAGAGAGTACGGTCCTAAAGTCAAGACAGGCGCAATCCTGGAGATCAAGTAAGATTTTAAAGGTTGGGAAAGTAATTTTTGTTCAATTTTCTGGTCTACATTAAAACTCATTATTATATTTCTCCGGAAAAAACCCTTTCTTCGTTCTTACTCTTTGTTATAGTGAACTAACTCAAAATCTTTGTACTATTTTGCGGCATTTTTCTATTAACATGTCAAACTGATTAAGATGGAAAACTTAAATTGAAGAAGATGAATATTCTAAATGGAATATTAAAGGGGCTCAATAGCCGCAGCAGGGTAACCGTTGAACAAATATGAGAAACCGTGTAATTATGTAAAGTTCTACTGAAATTCTAACACTTTAATTCAAAAATCAATTCAAGAAACATAATTGGATATTAGTTACCCTTAATGAATGTCTATATGTCAAGAAGTGCTTGGAGTTGGGAAATTGTTTTGCCATCTGTATATTCTTCTCGTCTCGGTTGACACCTCTAATTTGGATGTCCTGCAAATTCGCATATCAAGGTTAAGTTTCTCAAAAAAATTCAGCAAGAATGTTACGACAAAGGAGAACAATTGGATATAAGGATGCCAAAAACATACATGTGGATCAGCATCAAAATCAAGTTCCAACTGTCCTTGGTCATCCTCCCAAAGATTGTATATGATTATGCGTGTACCATGGTCTTCCATCTGACTGAACTGTTCAGGAATTGAGCAAAGTTGATCATAATAGGCTTAAACACTAAATGACAAACCACATAAAAGTCAAACTCAAATCCAGAAATAAACCACATGTGCAAAGATTAAAGAAACAAAATACAACTAATTGAATCAAAGTTTTTTCAAGCATTTGTCTATGTAAAAGCATTCAAACTCCTTATGTAAAAGAATTCAAACTGATGCAATCAAAATTTAAATTAAAGATCAAATCTTGAGAGAGAAGAAAATTCCCCAATTAGGGGTTAGCACTAGGGTGGAGAAACGAAAGCGCACTTAAACTCAATCAATATCTAATATTTTTCCTATCCAAAAACTTAGTACCACGAAGATAACATCACCTATTTACAGACTAACAGGACACTTAACTCAACTAATAGGACACATCACAGAAAACTAATGACACTTGAGCATAAGAATTCATTTTGTTTTTAAAGATGTTTATTCTACCATATTAGGACTCCCCCTATAAAAAATAAAATAAAAAAGCCCTCGAGTATTTGGAAATCCATAAGTATACCATGAAGTTACAAAGTTGTACTTGTGAAACAACCCCCTAAAGCAAAATAGGCACAAGGAAAGAACAATAAACTGGACCAGCCTACAAAAATGAAGAGACAATGATCTAAAATGATTCATGGAAGCACCTCTTGTCTAATATTCGGAAATAAATTCTCCCATCCCAAAAAGAACAATAGACAATCCAACCTACTGCATACTAATTTTCCCTATAAAATAGACCAAATAATCTAGCATTAAACAAAGGAGGATCTTTCAAACCACACTTTCTTATGAAATTGTCAAAATCTTTCACGCCCCATGTTACAGAATTCCTGCGGAGTTTTTCCAAAACAAATCTAACCACATTAAAATTGGGCCCCACACAACAATTAGTGGAACATAACCCATATAATCCAACCAATTCTTCCCACCAATCCTTCCTCCTACCTAGCCTATTGGGCACATAAACTTCTGTTAAACACCATTCATTGTTGACAACATTCCTAAATCAACTAAAAAAGAAAATTCCTCAAAATTAGTCTCACTCCAACACCACTCTCTCATCCCAAATAATCAAAATTTCTCCGGACATTCCACAAGAAGGCAACCAAGCCCAGTTTCTAAACCTAGTCACCCATGCTTTTAACAAACTTTCTATCAAACTTCTCTACTTTTGTTTCCTAAAACCATGATTGTCAGAATAGTACAATTCACGATTCGATTCAACAAAAACAATTTAAATCTTGCAATCAGAAATTGAGTAAATTGTACAATTCAATTTATGATTCATTGCGATTCGCTGCAATTTAATTATATATATATATTTTTTATGATAAATCAATTATATTTCTTTTTTTTTTACATAATGCATGAAAACAACGCCATTTTTACCAAACTATGAAGATATATCAAAGAGATTAATTAGTTATATTAATATACATAATTTTATATGTATATACATATATACAATTTAGTCATATTGATAGTTTCCTTTATTTTAAACATTGTATGTACTTTTGTACGTATATATGAATTTTATATCATATTAAATGAAATGAGTCTTATGATTCACGATTCATTATTTTACCAACACAAATCACAATTTGATTCACGATTTAAAAACAATGCCTAAAACATAACTGTATTAAGCTTATGGATTCTCAAAAACTCAAATGTTCCAATTTAAAATATTCATTGATGAACTTTGTCACCCTGATCTACCCTTCCATGATCATCATAATTAATCCCCTGACTAAATTCCTTAATTTGTCTTGTTCCCACCTTTATTCCTATCACCTCTATTCCCATCCTGAATTCCCTATCACCCCTGTTCGGACCAAAGCGAACCCACAGTTTGAAGTAATTGTAAAACATGAGGCACTTCCTCATCCTCTAAAGTGAAAGACACATAAGAACTCATCTCCCTTGACCACCTTTCCGTCCCATCCCCCTAATTTCGTGAACTCTATTCCCCTCTATTCCCTTATTAGAAGCTCTCTTATGAGGAATACCCTTCAAATGGCCATTCTTATTATTCATAGAATTGGTTAGAGAAATGCGAATGGTTTCACTCTCTATGGGTAATCGGGACACTTGACTCTTCCCCATTGAAATATATCAAGAAAAGAAGGGTTAACATGTAAAGGTGGAGAAACCAGAACCCCATTTCCCAAATTTGAATGAATTGCCTGTCGTGTTGATGACTAAAAAGAGAAGAAGGTAATATGTTACTTTGCTCAATGGATCACATACATTTTCACCATATCGTGATGTATCAGCCTTCTCACTTACCTCATCCTCATGATAATCATCGTAAGAATGAGTGGGAAAATCACTTTCATCAAATTGAGCTTTTAACTTAGGATCAAAGTCTTCATCGTTCTCCTTTTCTTTTTTCTTCTCTTCCCCTCAGTGTCAAATTTTGATTTTGACACTAACGCTTAGCTATTTGATGTGTCGTATTCAACTTCCTTATCACGATCCGAGATGTGATCACAGTCAGCTTCAACTCTAATGTTTTCTTTGTACTGATCATTATCATTTTCCATGGTCCACCTACTTTGAAAAAGCTACCCTTTTGATGTATCAACCATGTCCACAAGCCCTAATTGAATTTCCTCACTACTAAGACTATTCCAATCACAATTTGTATCTTTCAAACACCCACCTTCATCTTCTCAGACGTCCTGTAAATTGTTCCGAAACACTGAGTTTTTGTTTCAACAAAGACTCCTTATATGCTCTTACTCATTCAGAGCTTCCGGCCTCGCTCCATCATTAATTCACACCCGTTCATCTTCCCATACTATTGTTTCTCTCTTTGTCCTTCGATTTACAATTTTTGATTTCCGTCATTATAATCCACCTATGACTTGTCGTTGAATACCCTATGAAGTTACCAATCTCGTCGAGCCTGAGAAGAAGACTAAGAAATCGAGTAACGCACCCTAACCCACGAGACTTCTTGACTTGCTTCCTTTGACCCGTCTCTTTTACCTAAATTAGTCCCCTCAATAATTAGGTCCAAGAGTTCTACACTGAACCAACCCAATTCCTTGGGCCATGCTCCATATAGGCCACCCTTAGGTGTAAGAGATGGACTTCAAGAAAATGATGGGTGATATGACCCTATCTGAATATTAGATCCCTGTCTTCACATTTTCCATCTGCTTGTCAATTCCTTCATTGCAACCCTTCCTTCAAAATACAACTAGCACCTTTCCTCTTCTGCACGCTTAGAAAAAACCACTTCCTTGATCCGCCCTTTTTCCTTTCATGCCACATTTTACCACCGTCCCCCTCTATTGCCAACCGCAAGAAAAGCTTCATTTCAGTCTTCCAATCTCCCTCATCGGGAACTCCATTGTCGATGGTTTGCTCCTTTCCATATTGCTCCTTTCTAGACAGACACATGCCTTAAATCCCTTCACTTTCAATCTCGCTTCAAACAAATTTTCAAAGGCTATCATTTAACCCTCCACGTTTTCTTCTGATTGCTTTGAATAAATCCTCATTCTAGTATTTGAACAGCACATTACTTACTGCGATCCATCCCCCAAAGTGATTACATCTACGCTATGATGCTTCTTTTCCAACCACCTTTCCAATATCACTGCAGTTCCTCCGACGAAATTCATCCCTTGACTACCTAAGGGATCAGCCTCTTCTTTATTCTGACAGAAGAACAAAGCTTTATTAATTTGGAATGAACGGAGAACATGCGACCTTTCATACTCTTAGCTCAATGCCTTTTCAATATGGTTCCAGCTAATATACAAGTCCATACATGACTGCTCTATCCAAGTATGTAATTAGCTTACCTTTTCCAGCATCTAGTGGTGAGGACTTGAGAACTTCAGCGTAAGTAACCCCTCTGTTTTCCAATTCTATCTATGGTCACCTCTGAATCTCCACAGCCCTGCTGCCTCTGCACTTAATGTATTGCATAATGTTGGTTCTCTTGCTCCCTGCCACCTAGTTAGATATCTATACAAACACCCCTTTTTGTATCTCTTTTCTATAATGTACTTACCAACCTCTCTGAGTTTGCATCATCCAGTAGACTTTGCCCCATATCAATCTTCATAGCTTCAAATCCTATTTCTTTCCATAATCTCCGCCAGCTCCCCTCTCAAACCTTCATCGATCTAGATAGTGAAGATCCTGTGCTCTATTTTGAACTCTGATGAAAAAGCTCTTTGTAGGCTCTCATTTTCCTAATTACTACCTCTACCTCTATCTCTGTTAGCCATCAAACAATAAGAACCAAATGCAAGCTAATCGAACCCATACCAATACAAATCAAACCACTTTGAACACAAATCTAAAAGGTTTGAACCAAATCGTGCCAAAAGAAGACTTCGATCCAGCCTATCAAATGCAAACTCAAAGCAATCAATACAAATCAAACCAAATCTGAGGGGATTCAAACCAGAGAAGGCAGCAATTAGGTCAATTGAAACAATCACACATGATTTCTTAGTGCTACAATCAAAGCACTATGGTTCGAAAAAACCATATTAGGGTTCAACTTTGTCATTTGGGGTTCAATCGGCACTCAATTGAGATCACAACTTCAAATCAAAGGCTTGACTAAGGTCAAAACTTCAAATCGAAGTTCCAACTCATACTCAGTTTCAGCAATCAGTGTTCGAACTAGTCAAATCTGAATCAATCGAACAGAGGTCTAAAATGTTCAGACTATATAAGCTTCAGTCGTATTAATTGTTGCAATAGCACAAGTTGAACTACTTTCGAACTCAAATTGAAGTTGAACAAATCATGTTCGATTGTCGATGTGCAATGAATCAAACATTCGCATAGGCCTGAACTCAATTAGAATCAATTATCTACTAGAACCAGAAGCAAGCTGAGGTGATTCAATGAGGTCAACAACACTGAAGTTACAATCGAACTTGCAAAACAAGGAATTCCACTTCGTGATGCACTCCAGAAGCAATTTGTAATCCTTGAAACTCAAATCTTAGTTGAATCTTCATACTTCATTTGCAAAATTGAGATTCAAATTGGAAGAAAAATATCTAAGCCTAGGGCTCTGATACTAAATGATACAATCAAAGATCAAATCTTGTGAGAGAAGAAAAAATCCCCAATTAGGGGCAAACCCCTAAAGGTGGATAAACTTAATCAATATCCAATATTTTTCAATCCACAAACTAAGTACACTGGAGATTATGTCACCTATTTATAGACTAACAGGACACTCAACAGAAAACTAATGATACTTAAGCATAAGACTTCATTTTTTGTTTTAAAAGATGTTTATTCTACCACATCACAAACTCCCAAGTGGAATAACTTCAGTTTGATTACGGAAAAAATGGCTTCCTCATTTGCAACAATCTCATATAAACGCTAATTGCACATTCCAATCCAACCCAAAAAACAAAGCAAATAGACAAATGCTTTATAACGAAGATATTTTGTTTATTTCCACCAAATTCATTGAAAACATCCTAGTTAATAACAAACTTCCACACAATCAACTAAAATGATTTGAGGAGCGATAAAAGTAAAATACAAATTGACAAAAATTCAACTAGATCGTTCACCTGAAACGAAAACATTATTACAGAAACTTATAGAAATAATGTGGAATAATGAACAATCACCTGTTGTAGAAGATCCACTTCACTCAAAAATGGAGACCATTGCACTATTGTTTCTAAATTTCTGTTCCAATCACTGACAGAGGATCGTTTCATCCTGTTCCACTCCTGCCCTCCTCTTTCGTAGTCAAGCTTTTCATTTCATTAACAAAACCATGGTGATCAAAATAAAAAAAACTAAAAAATACATTCGGAACTAACTATCAGCAATAAGAAAATAACAACCAAATTTCACAATCAGGAGAAAAGGAGAAAAAAGGAAACAGCAATAACAACAACAACAACAACAACAACAACAACAACAACAACAACAAAAAAAAGGAGAAATAGAATGGTTACTGGCAGTGTACATGAGTAAACAGCAGTTGCTAAACATGATGGCTATAGTGCACATTATTCAATTCAAGATAAAGAAGAAGGAAAAAAAATAAAATAAGATCAATGGTACATGAAGTCATAAATTTGGGTATTACTATATACCACAAAAAAAAAAAGTGCACACAACACAAACAGAAAAAGAAGGGGGGAATTTCAGTAGAGAGCGTTTTATGCAGACAACCTATACAAATCATCAGACAATCTTTTGGTAGGTATTAATTGCCACAGGGTTCAGACACTTGCATGAATGAAAGGTTTATCAGATGCTAGAAGCAGCAAGGAACCCCACATCATGAATGTCTGTGAATGAAGAAGAGTGCAGCTAAAGCAAAAAAGAATCAGGCAAATTGACTGATTACACAAAAGTTTAAGCACTTGGAACGCAAAGGCTTTATTACATAAACCCAAGTACAGGGCACAAAAATCAGTTTAGACAATATACCTTGTCTTTAGAAGTCTTGAGTATGTTATTCATAAGATGGAAACATTTTTTAGCACAAACGAAAATTAAGAAGGAAAAATTTTCAAGGTCAGTTAAACAACTTCTAGGAGAGACTAATATCATTTGTTGAATAAATATTAGAAGCCAAAAGCTTCATCCAATAATAGATCTCCACACTATTCCAGAAAATCACCTTTGACCTAACGGAATTTAAACATTTGCCTCTGACTAAAACCTTCCTTAAATAGGCATGAGATTTGGACTAGTACCAAACACAGAATAAGGTCAAGTATAATCAACTACTTGAGCCCAATCATTTATCTAAAATATCTCTTCCTCAGCCTGTCCAAACCAGGATGGAGGGACTTGCTGAACAGGTTGATGAAAAAATTGCAACTCCAATCAATAAGCAAGGTAATTACCGATCATGCAAAAAAATCAGATAAAGACATCAAGCATCCTTTTGCCAGTAGAAAAAAATTATTCAATATTATAGCTAGAAAATGATACAAGTTTTAATGATTGTTCAACATTGTCTGAGTGACCATGTAGATTGAAGACAAAACAACAAATAGATATTATATACTGTGTTGTTGGGAATCATTTCTTTTCCTGTTTTATGTTCTCATTTTCCTGAAAACATAGAACCTTACTTGGAGAACTGTTTTCTGCAAAAAAATTCTGAAAAATCCCTCTTTTTAGAAAACACCAAAATGGTTTTTTCAAATTTTCAAAAACTAATTTCAAGTAATTAAAAAAAAATATGAAAACGAAAAGTGTTTCAAACTTTTAATTATGTTTGTTTCCAAAAACACGAAAACAAAAGACGAAAACCATCCAAACATACATACTTTTGACGAGTAAAAACAAGAACATTTACTAATGTGTGAAAAAAGCAAGGAATTCCAAAAGATAGGGAACTGTGCCAACAGATTAGTACATGTACAAGATAAAACAAGAAGCACTCAATCATGATATAACAATGACTAAACTTGTGTTAATTCAAGGATAAAACTAACATAACATTATTACCATGGGAACAACAATATCTTCCTTCCCTGTACTCCTCAAAAACGTGTAAGACAATAACCCAATGCTCTGTGTGGGCCTAAAAGAAAATATCCCAACAATTCAATTAACAAATCAATAAATGAATTACAAAAATAAGCATAATAATAGCAATATTAATCCAAGAAATAACAAAAACTAAGAATTGGAAAGACTAATAAGTTAGTAACATTAAAATAAGCAACTATTTTCTTAAAACTCAACGCGTAAATAGCATATGAATTAAGAGAATGCAACATAAATATGTGTAGCATTTCATATGAAGCTGTTGTCCATAAGAAAATTAAAACACTTCAAATATTGTTGCGGAAATGCCTAAATGAACCTAGTTACGATTGTTCGTATTGCCCAGATATTTACGCATTGCATTTTTTATACAATTTATATCAAGCAACACTGTTGCAATATCAGCCATTAGTTAGAAATTTCCATGCACTTTCTGAAAAGAGCACTATAATAGAGGAATACAAATGCAACCTGTGTTGCCTACTTGAAGAGCATAATTACCATCGCATAATTTGTTCCCATCTATTTCTTCTAAAAAAATACTCTTATTTATGGTGCACAATGTTTACAATGTTCACAAAAGGCACTTTTTAACTGAATAAAAGAGGCTGCATCCAAGGTTGTTTGTTTCCCCTCAATATATGGCCTCCACTTAAGGGAGGCAGATTTTGGATGGCATCTATCATGTGAATCTGATTCCAAGAATTAATGCCTGGTCCAAATGTGTTTTGCAAGATCAATGTTAAAAACCTATTAACCCATAATTTGGAAGTTTCTAATGCTTTTGCTTACAAAAAAATGGGTGCCTATGCGATCTGGATAGGGGGATCATCTAAAGGTGCATGAGGTCTCTTTTTTTCCCAATTTTATAATGAGTTGATTTTATGATTTCTTTTAGAAAGCTGTCTTTTTTTCAATTTGATCAATGAGATGGAGTTGTCTCTTTAGTACAATATCAGCATCATGTGCTACCTATCGTGTTTAGCACGAACAAAAAGGCACAAAAGTCTTGCAAAGAAAAAGTTACCCAACAGCCACAGGAAAAGTGAAGAACAACAGAGAAAATATGAGACCGTGAAAACGATAATGAGACAAATCATCCATCAAATAAACATTGCATATCTTCAGATTTTGGGTAGAAAAGAGACTTCTGTTCTCTGATTTCTTCATCGACTGACTTCGAATCCTCTATTCAGTAAGCCCTTACTTCATCCTGGTATGTATCGACCATTTCTTCTACCATTTTGTCTTCTTCTTCTTTGTTTTTTTCTTGGGGGTTAAAGACACCAAACAATCTTGATTTATAGTGCTGTATAAATCGCTGTATGCCAAAAAAAAAAAAAAAAAAAAAAAAGAGCAAACTGAATCGTCAAGAATCACAAATATCGACAATTCATTCTGATTCTTGCGATTCCATATTTGAATCGCACGATTCCAGCAGATTTTCGATTCCTACCTATGATTCGTATCGCCATATGCAAAAGTCGTATCGAATCATATCGCGAATCATATGATTCAAACAACCATGGCCCCACCTACCTCCATAGAATGAACAAGTCCAAAGAAGCATGAATGTCTGTTACCAAATAATTCAAAGCAGATTTTAGAAGACTAAGAGTTGTATTATCATTCCATCTTTGATGTCACCCTTATGTTGGATCAAGAAGAGAATTGAACTTTGGTCAAATATAAGTCTAGATTCCCGCCATATCGATTTTCTTTCAAAGTGGTTTTACTTTGGAACCTTAGTAGCAGGAATCGCCTCAGATGGCGACGACTCCAAGGAAAAAGCACGATTTTGCGCTTCTGAAGAAAAATCGCAGCAGAATCGCGAATCTGAGGGGAGGAAACGCGAATCTGATGCGAGAAGAGAGCACTATTGAGAGGGCAAGGAGAGTACCTGCTCTGTTCGACGACTTCGATCTCGCTGTTTGACTTCCCCGTCGAAGCCCTACTCTTCGTCCCTCTCTTCGAAGCCCTAGGTCTTCGTCTCTCTCTCTCTCTCGCTTCTCTCACCCTCGATCTCCTCTTCGTCTCTGTTGCGTCTCTTCTTCTCCCTCTCTCTTTCTTCGTCTCTGTTCTCTCTGTCTCTCTCTTTCTTTCCCTCTCCGATTTCATTATTTTGTATAATATAATTTATCATATATAATATAATTTATAAATTATAAATTATAATATAATTTATCATAAACAATATAATTTTTATTTGTAAAATAAAAAATTATTTATTTTATCATATAAAATATAATTTTTATTTATTATTTATTTTTTTAACAATTATTTCTTAACTTTTTAACATATAATAAATCATCTAATTGTTTAAAAGAAATCTATTTAAATCATATATAATAAAAAAAATCTTAAAAAATTTATAAAATAAAACATCTAATTTTTATTTATTATTTATTTTAACATAATTTATTATTCATTATAATAAATAAAATATAATTAATAAAAATAATACATAAGCGCTCCTAATTTACGACTCCTCTAAGTGGCCACGTTTCCCCGCTCCAGCCCCCGCTCCCGCTTTGTGCAACTAAGTTCGAAACACATAGTTAGCCAATTAACAATATGTAGCCAATAAATTAACTAGGGAATTCCAATTTTGATTTTGTATGACTTTCAATATCTAACAGTCTTCCATCACAAATCCAGCAATATTGGTTAAGCTGCTTGTGGTTTTATGTTCTTTTAGTTTATCAAGTGAAATTAAAGAATCATGTCTTTATATGATGACAAGGGCGTTTGGTGTGGCTTTTTTGAGCCAACTTATAGATTTTAGCTTTGGAAAAACTATTTTAGACTATTTGGTTAAACTTAATTCAAACAGTTTCTGATTCTAGCAACTTATTTTAACTTAAAAAAGCCTATTCTGAGAAGTTGTCCACCCCCCGCTTCTAATTATAACAGCTTATTTACGATTTTGCCTTAGATTTTTTTTTATTTTGAAAATAGAAAAAGACCTAAATGGACTGTGGACATTTTTTTTTTTTTTTTTAATGGGAAATGTGGACTAGTAGTTAATAACAAAAAATAAAAGTTAATTCAATTTACAACTAACAAAAGTTGATTCAATTTATAATTAACAGGGGTAAAAAGGATATTTACACATCAAAAAGTTATTTCACAACTTATTTACCAAACACTACTCAACAACTTAAATCTACAATCCAGCAATTGCACCAAACAGATTAACAACTTCTAATTAAAGTCATAATCTATGATCTATTAAGCTATAATTTATAATCTATTTTAACAGCTACACTAAACACCCCCGACAACCTATTGGCAAAAACACTTAAGGTCCAAACAGAAATACAATGCGATCAAAAACATGCCAAACCACAAAAAGAAACAGGAGAAGCTCGCATTAACATCTATATGAGGAGGATCTAAGATGGCTGATCTGATCGCATCCAATGAAGTACTATAATCGCACCACTAGCTATTGTTTCAACTTATACAACTTGAGGCACTACAAAGCCAAGGAGAAAATAAAAAGAACATAATGAGGACTAAGCCTGTGAGAAAACAAATCAAGCTGAGTCATCTAATTCCAATTTTACAAGGCGTAGGGCCCTAGATAGTGCAATATGGCAAGGAAAATAACTCTTCTGGCCAATCAATGTATTGGATAAGAATTTGCTAAGTTATTTATAATATAATATAACTATATAAAATTTCCCACACAATTCAAGATCACAATGTCTTCTCAAATTGCATGAAGGCAAAGGTGAAATTGGTGCAGACATTTTCACACTACCAAGCAACTAGAAAATATTAAATAACCAGAGCACCTTTAGTTTAAAATAAGCTAAAAAAGGACTGCATTGATGATCCAAACTGCAAAAGCAATACGAAAGAAAAAATTGAAAATCAAAAAGAACAAAATAAAAACCTCTTTCCATCTTTTCCACAGCAGCGCGAGAACACAATAGCATCAGCTCCAAGCCTCATGGTACTTGTCTTAAAACCATTTCCATCTAATCAAAAGAGCATAGGAAAAATGGATATTCAAATAAAATTGGGGGGGGAGGGAAATGGGAAGAAGATAACTATTTGTACAAATATATCTTTCTCATAAAAGTGGCGGCTTACATTGCCCAATAGTATTTGCTACTTCGCTTTTTACAGAATACCCAAGAGATATGCATTGCCGCATCTTATCTGGATCCATGCCGCCACCATTATCTGCCAGAGACATTGAATAAACATTCAGGGTTAATGAAATGAGAAAGAGTGGGCGGGGGTGGGGGGGGGGGTGGTTGTATATGGACATAAACATAGTATCTAAAAGACGCATACTGTGAAGCCCATAGAAAGCGACAAAGTCAAAAATTGTGCCACAAAGATGAAGAAACCATTTGACAAGAAAAAGGACAATTTAGACAGTGAATAATCAATACAATTCCTACTAGCTCCAAAACTATAAATCTCCAAAAGGGCAATAACTTCCTAAACCACTCAATTAATGCTCCATTACTCAAACTTGAACCCATGAAAAGCAAATTAAGATATGGGAGCCTGCATAATAATTTTAAAACAAAAATTAAAAGAAAAAAAAAGAGTATTTGGAGAATATATCGACCACCATGTATGAGTAACTAACTAACTTGAGGGACAGAGAGACAGAGAAAGACCCATAATCCACAAAAGAATAAGAAGAAAAATCAAACCAAAAATAAAGACGAACCTTCAATTCGTAACATTTTGCCACCATCTTTCTTACCCTTCAGCATATCAACATTCACAAACGTGGCCCCATTACAAACCTGAAATCAAAACAGGAACTTCAGTATAAACTGCTGGAAATAAAATAAAATAAAATAAAACAAAGAGAGTGAAGCGTTGCCTAATTCAGAAAGAACAAGAATAAAAGATACCTCATCTAATGAATTGTCCAGAAGCTCTGCAAAAGCTACAAAAAATGTGCAAACAAAAAGTAGATTAGAGAACTAAGTAACTTACTAAAGATGCATGTTTCATAGATAAGTAAGGCAAATTTACCGCCAAGAACCCATTTATGACTGGTTGCATTGGAGTGCAGAAATTTGGGATGAACCCTAACATGATCCATGCCACCTGAAAATGTTACAGAGGGAAGGGAAGAAAATCAAGAACGGCTCCAATCAATATCCTCAAAAGTGATGCTAATGTTATTATTAGAGAAGCATAAGCAGAAATGACTGAAACTTCATTGAAATTATTTAACATTACTTTGGTATTGCATGCAAACAGGCCACTGGTTTAGTGGTTAAAACTCGGCCTGTCAACCTTGAGGATGTAGATTTGAATGTGAGTGCAGCCACTTTGTGTAGACAGTAAATGTTAGGTTTGTACCCAATTTAAACCTTGCAGACCCCCATTCAATGGGGACTAAATTAGACATACTTTCTTTTGATATTCCATGCAAAAAAAGGATCTCTACCCAAGCATGCTCATTTGTCAAAAGCACATGCAAAGAGGTGAGGGCTTAAAGCCCACCCCTTAATGAGCCCATGGAACCTTTGTTCTTGGAAAGTCACTAATCTTACACAATTGCGATATTGCAAATTACAACTTGAGAAGTGATGTAGGATATCATGTGCCTGGCATGTGATAGTGGTGGGAAATTGTAGCTTATATCTAGAAGAGTCATAACCACTTTGTAACCAATTTTGAGATAATAAACATTGATTGATTGAGATATTCTCTCTAGAACCTAGGGTTCTTCTCTCTCTACTTTCTCTCGCTCTATTGTTCTTGATTGGGCCTACCATCATTTGGTATCAAAGCCAAGTTTTGATCCTATTATCTCACAATCTGATTGGGTCATCACCTACTTCTACACTATGAGACACACATACTTCATTGGAGCCTCTGACCTTGCGTTTTGAGAGAGCCTTTGATTTCACGATTCTCAGTTCATGGCTCGCAAGAACCCTAGTGGGCAACTTGAGTTCGATTTCGTCATACACAGTTGATTCACGATTTGACCTATAGCCTTCATGATCATCTTTTAGCGACTAGCTTGAAGCATTCGACTTGCAGTTTCGACCTCAAATTTCAACTCACGACTTCGCATCTTCAGTTCGCAATCTGGGTTTTGATTTTTTAGGCTCGATATACTTCATTGTTAATTTGATTTTGGCAATCAAAATCAAATTTGGGTGTTTTCTTGAATCGAAACCGAAGGGGACTTCTAATCGACATCACGACCTACAATCTGACCATGACTTGGGTCTTCTGATTCGAGTTCGACATCAACCTTCGTGACTTTGTTGTGGGCTTGCGACACTGTTCTTGCCAGTTGGCTTGATCGAAGCTTGGTTCTCAGTTTGCAAATATGGGTTCTTGTTTCAGTTGAACTTCGCAGCAATCGCGACCTTGTTCTGAGTTCGCAGATCGACTTAGGTTCGCAGATGTCTTTCCCTGTTTCGCACGAAGACCTAGAGTGTGCTTCTCCCTCTCTCCTTCAAAGCTTGGTTGCTAGTTGATCTCGACTCTGACATTGCAATCTGTTGACTCAATCTGGGTTACTCAACTCGTGGGTGACTCTCGAATTTAGGAATGTAAGAAAAACTGATAAAACCGAGCCGAACAATCAGAACCAACCGAAATTTTAGTTTTCAATCTGTTTTCCATAACATATAGTTTGTTTCGATTTTGAAACTTTTTATACCGATGCAAGCCGAACCAACCGAATGTTATATTTAAGTATTGGAATTGGGTTACTATTGTCCTATGAAGCATGGGTGCTCCAAAAAAAGTGTCGTGCGAGTACCGGGTACTTATCGGGTGCGGGTGCGGGTGCGAGTACGCATACTGGTACAATTGCACACGTACCAAGTGCGGCAAAAAGGGGTCCGGTACATTTGGTTTAATCGGGTACGTCGTGGGTACGCTGTTGGTACGTTTCGGGTAGACATTGCAATCTGTTGACTCAATCTGGGTTACTCAACTCGTGGGTGACTCTCGAATTTAGGAATGTAAGAAAAACTGATAAAACCGAGCCGAACAATCAGAACCAACCGAAATTTTAGTTTTCAATCTGTTTTCCATAACATATAGTTTGTTTCGATTTTGAAACTTTTTATACCGATGCAAGCCGAACCAACCGAATGTTATATTTAAGTATTGGAATTGGGTTACTATTGTCCTATGAAGCATGGGTGCTCCAAAAAAAGTGTCGTGCGAGTACCGGGTACTTATCGGGTGCGGGTGCGGGTGCGAGTACGCATACTGGTACAATTGCACACGTACCAAGTGCGGCAAAAAGGGGTCCGGTACATTTGGTTAAATCGGGTACGTCGTGGGTACGGCATGGGTACGCCGTTGGTACGTTTCGGATACACTGGGGCAAAAAAACAAATTTATAAGAGATTTAGGGGTACCGGAGCAATTTATTTATGTTCTTTATTAAAAAAAACAAAAAATGCAGTGTTATTTTGTAATATTAAGAATATATATACACCTAGGTTTTGTCCCTTCTTTGAATATCTTCACTTCAGCAGCAGCAAAGAGAACGGCGCAGTTGACTTCTTCGTCTTCTTCTTCTTCTTCAGCAACAGCATCATCTCTTCACTTTGAAGCCCTCCGATGACAGCGATGCAACCATGGTTATCAAAATCCCGATCCGGATCTTACGATCCATTTGAGTACAATCGATCCGGATCGTGTAAAAAATTTCTTATAGGTAGGATCTTTCGATTCTGATAATGGGATCTTATAGGATTATATAATCCCGATCCGAATCTGATCCAATTTACAAGCCTTGTTTTGAATTGTATGACATATTTTATTGTAAATTTTATGTTTGTTGTTTAAATACCAATTTATGTGGTCAAAATAAATAATAAAAATTAAGTAGTATTGAATCAAATAGACTAAAAAAAACAAACTAAAAAACAAACATTCAAATATTGTGGTAATGTAAGAAAATTAACTAGTTGAAAAAACAAACTTATCTTTAGCAGAGTCTAAGGAAGGTAAGATGATTGCAACTTTATCCCAATTTTTGAAGAGATTGGGTATGTTTGGTTTGAGTTTGGGAGATGGGTTTTAAAGATAAAAAGTACGAAAAGTTGTTTGGTTTGGTTTTTTTCAAAAGATGTTTTGGAAAATTATTTTGAGAAAGAGTTTTGGAAAAGTGATTGATTTGATGTGTATGAGAGAGAGATTTGTTTGGAAAACTTGTAAACCAAACAAGTTTTGAAAAATTTTTTTGAAAAAATTTGTTTAGTTTAATTACTTTTGAAAACTTATTTGTAGAGAATTTTTTCCAAAAATTTTTGGGAAACACAAACCAAACAAGGCCATTATTTTTGTGACTCAAATCCGCTCCACCAGGGATGCTAACGACAAACATTATCTGTCCATTGTGCTAAGACTTGTATATTGGTGCACTGTTTGTCATTGTTCAACTGGGTTGTGATTACTATAACTTTGATCATTTGGCTTTTCAATGGCTCAACGAGGTCAAGGTCGTAGGGATGGTCATTGTAGGGCTTATGTCCCGGATTTGGGTGATAATGTCAAAGATTATGGGATTCCATATCAAAGAGATAAAATGATTGAGATGAGACAGCAAATTGCCGCTTTAACCGAGACGGTGCAATGTCTCCTTCCTCCTATCGAAGTTAGTAATGGTTCCAAGGATCGTTAATTTGATGATTCCTTCGATGCTCCGCATAGGTGTAGAGCATATTTACATGAGTTTGATTGTACATGGAATGACACCGTAGAGGATTTAGAGTTTCCCGAATTCCGTGGAAGCTACAATCCGGATGTGTTCGAGGAATGGTTGAAGACCATTGAGAATCATTGGGAGTACTATGGTGTGCTGAAAGCAAGGAAGGTGAAATTGGTCTCTCAAAGCCTCAAAGGTTGTGCTTCCGATTGGTGGAAACAATTACAAGTTGGTAGGCGTAAAAAAGGCCAAGAAAAGGTTAGAGAGTGGAGGAAGATGAGGAAGAAGCTTGTAGCACAACTTTTTCGCGCCTCCTTTCGGAAACTCGAAAGAAGCCCTACAATTCAAACTCTCGCGATTCTGAATTTAATCTTACAAGTGCAATGTGAAATTGATAAACACCAAAGAGTCCAAATCCGGCAAATCTTTTGAAAAATCAATTTTGAATCAAATTGCCAAAAATGAACTGCTTTGCCAGATACAGAGTCACCACCTAAATATTTTATTTTGGAAAAATTTAAGAAACCCATGACTCATGCGAAAGACCACGTGTCCATCATCACCAAGATTGTCTCGGTTCGAAAACTTAGGTACGAGAGAGGAAGATCATGAATTGAGCACCCCCACTCGCCCGATCAAAGATCGGCCTCTACTAATCATAATATGATTTTTATCAATATTATATGCTCTTGTTCCGGTTTATTAAGCTAGCATTTACTATGTGATGCGTGCACACAAGGTATAGACAAGTTTGCCTGAATTGAAACAATTTAATTTCATGTTTGTTTTTCAAGAAGGGTTTGATTTCGCCACTTAACAAAGTGGGCTTAAAGTTTGTGAATGTGCCACTTGACAAAATGGGCTTAAAGTTACATTCATTGAATCATTCCAATTCAAGCAACAAGCCTTCATCCACAAGCACTCAAACAGTTTAACAAGTAAGCACTTAGCCTCATGACAAGCATGCTAGTCATGGCAGTCATTCACACTCATACAAGTATGCTAAAGCATTAAAAACTCACCTAGTACTCCAGGCTAAGATAAAACAAAAGAGTTAGGAAAAGGAATATGCATGACACCTAACTATACAAGATGGCTAGTGCAATACATGCAATAATGCAACTAAATAGGCTCGGCTACTTAACATGTTAGTTGCAACAATTTCATAGCATGCGTTTTAAACACGTATTCAACGAGGTAATAAACTACAATGCAAAATTGAATGATGAACCGAGCCTCGGTGTATGTAAGATAAATGAATAGATGCAAACATGCGATATGCTAATTGAAACATGATGCCCCTAATCTAACCATCATAAGCTAGTAAATAAAAAGGAGAAAGACGTGGGGTTAGAAGACATACACATTATTACAAAATTGATGCCCTCGCGCAGGAGGATCCGAATGAATAAACTAGCTAAGCTACACTACTTAACTAATTATTACAACCGAATGAAATAAATTAACTAACTATTCTAAGCTAATTAATTAATTATTACAACAAATTAATTAACTATTCTAGCTAATTACAAAAACAACTAATTAACTATTCTAGTTAGCTAATTAAACAATTACAACAACAAGCTAATTAATTACGTACAAGAAATTAACTAATTACAACAATGAAATACTATGCTATACTAGCTCCTCCACCTCGGGAAATGAGGAATGCACAAGAATACAAGGTTTTTTACCCCAAAACAGCCACTCTCTCGTTGCTGTATGCCTCTATTGCACAACACTTACACTGTTATCCTTCTCCAAATCAACTCTGCTCTACTTCAGAAGCACACTGCTGAATTTTTCACTGGTGGCCGACAGGCCAGAAGTGAGGGGCTGTCGGCCATTAGAGGTGGCCTGCCAGCCACTGCTAAGGGGTTGCCGGCCACTGAAACCAAGTCCGTCCGTGCTCTTGAAGAGGAATGAACCTTTAAGCCATAAACCAACAATTTCACACTCTCAAGTGCTTCAAGAGCTCAAATAACCTCAGCAAGAAGCTCTCTAGGTTTGATTTAGAGTGTTTAGGCTAAGGCTATGCAAGTTGCAAAAGAGAGAGAGAATTGTAGAGAGAGAATTTTAACTCCCAAACTTTTCTAACCTTCAAAACAAGAAGAGAGGTCCTCTATATATAGAAAACAAGAGCCTCAGGTCGAAATATCTATATAGGGACAGGTGGAGCAATCTGGAAACAGCTGGCAACAGTTGGCACGAAAATATCTGTTTTTTTGCACTAGTGGCCGGCAGGCCACTAATGATGGCCGGCAAGCCACAAATGTAGCCGGTAGGCCACTAATGGTGGCCGGTCGTCCACTATTTGTGGCCGGCACATCACTAGGGGGGTCAAGGGGGTCAAACCACTCAAAAAGGCCAAAATTACCAATGGCCAGCAGGCCAGAAGTGGTGGCCTGCCGTCCACAAAAATCTACTCTCCAGGCCCAACTTCAAACGGACATATCTCCCTCATCCGGACTCGATTTTAGGTCATTCTTGAGACTAAATTGAAGCTCCGGAAGTCTACTTTCCAATGGAGGTGGCCTCACATCTAAATTCCAAGTGTGCAAAGAGATATGCCTATTTTAGTGAAGATTGCTCATTTCTAGCTTAATGGTTTCAAGCCCAACTTCTTCCCCAACTAGTTTTCTTCACTCTCCTCTAATTTTCTTCAACTCCAAACCTCTAAATGAGATGTTTAAAAGATTTTTCAAAGAGTTCACCTCCCTTTCATTTATTTTCACTTTGTCCTTACTCAATTTACCGAAAAGTGCAATTTTAAACGAAATGCGAGCCTCGGAATATCGTAGAAACATTTTCAAAAATGATTTGAAAGAGAGGGTATTAAGGTCTAAAAATAATTTTGGTCCAAAATAGTTTTGCTCCAAAATAGAGTGTAAGGTTGGGATTTAGAGCTCTTCTTACTAAAGAAATCGAACGTTTGCATAGCATTACTTTCATCATCAAGTGATCAATAAGTGGCGCCTAAGTTTTAAGGGCGGTCAAAAATGGGATGTCTTCAAAGCTCAAGGAGCACTTCTTGCCTTCTAATCACATGCCACTTTTGTTGGTTGCGAAGCAACAAAAGAAGGGCATTTCAAGTTCCGGACATCGATTACAAAGCAGCTTTGCAATCAGACAACCATCCTATGACTATGTCCAAATTGGTTCCTCAACTAGTGTTGGAATGCAAGAGACATTTGATGAGAGATATCCTCATAAGATGCTCTTTAGTGGTTGAGGTGGTTGAACCAAGATATGATGAGGAAGGGGCTTTTAGCTTTGGTAAAGAAGACATGGAGGAAAATTGTGGTCAAGAACAAGATTGTGGTCAAGCTCTTTCCGTTTGTGACGAAGATTTTCCCATCTTTGATCAAGATAAGAAACAAGACTATGATCAAGATGTTGCCATCTTTGATGACGATAGTGAGGCATTGGCTTATGAGGAAGTTGATGTTTGTGAATATGAAAAAGAAATTGATGTTTGTGAGTATGAAGGAGTTCCAATTTTTGACAACTATGATGATGAAAACAACCTTCTTGTAGAGAGTAAAGAACATGAGGGTGAGGAAATATTGCTTCCCATAAAGGAAGTGTTTCAATCCCACCTTCTATCCGTTTTCTATATTCTATGAAAAGAAATTATGGTGGACTGTCATGACATTGAAGTTACATGGTTGTTGAATGAACTTTGCTTCCGAAAAATGTCTCTTATGCTATCTTCAAAGCCATTTGTTCCACTTTGTGTTGGTGTAGATGAGTTTATTCTTGGGTCATGCGAGAAGTGTTATTTTGATGACATCTTGCTTTCAAAATGGCATGCTATATGGGTGGCCTATTCACACCTCAACATGGCTTCAGTTGATGTGCATAAACAAGAACTCGTTTTCATGGAAGGATATTTGCTAGGGTGATCTTGAATAAGGACTTGCAACTACTCACTCACTTCCCTTGTTGCCGGGTTCTTCTTGCACCGATGCCATTTCCTTTATTGTAGATTAGTTTCCATTGTGGAATTGCTTGTATTGCACTTTCTAGTTTTGTATTTCATTTCTAGTGCATTGGTTGTATTTTGTTTGTCTTCACTTGAGGACAAGTTCTTTCGAGTGAGAGAGTATGATGTAGGATTTCATGTGCTTGGCATGTGATAGTGGTGGGAAATTGTAGCCTATATCTAAAAGAGTCATGACCACTTTGTAACCAATTTTGAAATAATAAACATTGATTGATTAAGATATCTCTCTAGAACCTAGGGTACTTGTCTCTCTACTTTCTCTCTCTCTTGCTCTTGATTGGGCTTACCATCAAGACGCAACCAAAAAGGCCAAAGAATCACCTTGTTCCAACATTTATTTTGCAAATCCAAAAAAACTAGTGATTAAAAAATTAATTCTAGATTCCTTATCATAAAACCAAGATGATATTTAAACACTCCTACTTCAAGATTAACTCTAAAGTCAACCACTCCCATAGAACGTCCTAACTGCTAAGTTTTACAACATGACAATTGTGAAGCTTTCACTATCTTTTTGTAAAATGTATGAACAAAATAAAAACACAAAAATAAATAGGCAACAGACTGATGTTAGGCTGATGTTGTATAACTACTGCCTTAACCAGGATACAAAATCACCATCCATAAAAGTCATCTTTGCATTTACAAAACTAAAATCAAAAACTTAAACTTAATGCTTTATCAGCTTGAGTAGAATTAACCTGAACACAATCTGCAAATTTTATTCTTCATTTTATTTAGGTACTAAAAGGGCCAAAGGGTAAGAGGCTCAAAGTCTGATGAAACACTTTTTACTTACCCCCTATTTGAAAGCAAGTGATTTTTCCTAACCATGAATAATATATTTATCTTTATTACTCCCTCGAAATTCAAACTAGAGCATTCTAAATTTATGGAATTATCGAGTATTTCCATGTTTTATAGTTGGCCTTTCCAATTCATAGCTTCTTCCGTGAAGATGATAATTAAAGCATGAATCGTCACACAAGACGATGTAAAAGATTTCCGAAAAATACAGAACTATGCCCCAATAAGACTACTTCAAAGAAGCATAGATATCTACCTGAAGATGTCACCCAATCAGCATGAGGCTCTCCCTCAAAATCACCGGCCTTCCAGAATTGCTTAGAGCTGACGACATTTGCACTGGCATTGGCATTGAATACCGAGGTTGAGTGAGCCCTCGAAACAGCTCCATTCTTGGGAGGAAGAGGATCGAGAAACCCAACCGGCAAAGCCACACCTAACTCATCCGCTGTCTTCTTCTTCTTCTTCTTCGACAAAACTGGCTCGGCAGAGCTCGAAACCCTAGACCTCTTGCCGTTGATTCCAACAACACTACCATCGTCGTCAGAGGACGAAGACGAAGACGAAGAGGAAGAGGAAGAGGAAGAGGAGGAGCAGGAGGAGGAGGACGAATCAGAGTCACTGGTGCTGAGATCGATCACGGAAATTGGCTTCGGAGGATGCGTTGGGTTTTGATTCGCCTCCGGATGTTTTAGATGTTCGATGACTTCTTGCTTTACTTCAGCTCCTCCGTCCATGGCTTTCAAAAGGGTTTTGCACGAGAGAGTGATGAATATGCAAGACAGGTTCTTCAAAGGACAAAATGAGCTTTCAGGACTAACAATCCGTTTGGACAGAGGAGCTTGGTGAGAAAATAAGAGAAATAGAGAGAGTTAAAGAATTTTTTACCGGTATGAATGATTGAGTCGGTGAGAAATATTTAAAAAAGGGAAGAGTTATCAATTATGGAAATAAAGGATTTTTCACCCAAAGGATGTTTGATAATATAATTTGAGTCGGTGAGAAATATTTAAAAAAGGGAAGAGTTATCAATTATGGAAATAAAGGATTTTTCACCCAAAATAAGGATGTTTGATAATATAATTTAGTAATTAAAATTAAATGTATTAAGTGGTAATTAATTAAAATTATTTAATACTCATAATTAATATTATTTAAAAATTTAAGTGTTTCCTAAAATATAAAAAAAAATTTAAGAAAAAATTTTAAATCATATAAAACTTATTTAGCATTCGTTTGGGAAGTGGGTTGGCTTTTTGACTATTTTAGCCTAGGGTTAATCCAAGTGGCCTTTTTGACTTTTTTGACTTTTTGTGTGAGAGAAGAGTGTAATGATTATGGGTTGGATTTGCTGTTTTGTTTTTTGTGGCTAAAATAGCCTCTCTTTTTTTTGTGACTATTTTAGCCCCTAACCCACCAAAACCAACTTCCCAAACTATGTCTTCTAACTAAATTTATATTAAAATTTTCATATTTTAAATTATATAAAACTTATTTAATTCTAACTGAATCAATTATATATTATTATATGCTCACTACCACTATAACTACCATTATCATGTTATCGCTATCACCACCATTACTACAATTACTACCGTTGTCACTATCACCACTGCTATTACTACCACTACCATTGCTACCACAACCACCATCATTATGTCACCGCCACCATTATCATTACCATCACCATCATTATCGCTACCGCCACCGCTACCACCACTACCATTACCATCACTACCATTACCGCTGCCACCATTGTCATGTCACCGCCAACACTACAATTACCACCACCGCCATCACTACTGCCATCACCACTGTCACCGCTGCCATCATGCCACCACTACCTTCATCACAATTATCATTTTTGCTATAAGTATTACCATTATTTCACTATTGCTACCGCTACTGCTACTACAACCATCACAACATAAAAATTTAAATATACAATTTAAAAATAATAAATTTTAGATTTGATTTTATACGTATCAAACAATTTATTTTTAGTTCAGCACTTAAATTTTTATGAAACAGTTTTCAAGTTTAAAAAAATCAACATTTAGTTTTCAATACTTAATTTTATTTTTCAACTTTATCAAACACCACCTATGTTTTGTTTCTCACAAAAGTGGTGAGATTTGGCGGGAAAGAAAATTGGATTTAATGAAAGTTTTCTAAAATATCAAAATTATCCTTATAAAAAAATATGACTTATTAATATGGAAGGTTATTTTGATAAAATGAAATGTAATAATTTCTTCCCTTTTTTTTCTCTTATTTACTCTATCCAAACAAAATAGGTGAGAAATCACATTCTCTTCTCTTTTATTCATCCAAACATAATAATGAGAAACTATACTCATTTCTTTTCTTTTCTCACCTAGGTGAGAAACCACAATTGTTTATTTTCTTATATCACCTCACAATCCAAATGGAAACAATTGTGAAAAAAAAAAAAAAAATTACTATTGTGTACGAGCATCCAATAGTCTCTTTATTCCCACTATTTCTCTATTTTAAGGAGTCACATACAAAATAATTCTCTCATTTTTTGGATGCTTTGGAATTTTTTTTCTCTCCCTTTTTTAGTGGTATCAAGATGTCAATGGTCTCTTTACTTAACTCTCTATTCAAGGGAATAAACTTTTAGCTTCCTATATTTAGGCTTTAATCACTCCCTGTAATTAATAAGAGTAATGTTATACAAACCAAAAAAGGAAAGTTAGGTAGGGAGCCTTCCATACATTTGTGTAAGAGTTTAATGGCAATAACAATTTGTTTACTAGTCAAAGTCTCTAAGATTTGAAATTCCATTAAAATAAGGACAAACTTTAACATAAATGTCAAGAATGTCTTTTTAGGCTTTCTCTCTCCTTACTCTAGACAAGTTATATTTTGGAATGTATTTCAAAATTTTAAAATTTAATAACTTTTTATTTGAAACTCCGTATTTTATAAAATCTATATTTTTGTAATCACCTCGTTTAAATCTATCAAATAAGATTTATGATGCATATAAAATTTTGAAAAGACGCAGAAAATTTCATTGAGTTTTCTAACTAAAAGTCGGAGAAATTTCACTAACCTCTCAATTGTCCTGGCTTCAGTCAGCGAAATTTCACTAATTTAAATTTTGGCTTTCGTTAATTTCTTTCAATTTGACTAGAATTTAAGGAAGTAGAATTAGTAAAATTCAAAGAATTTAAGAATTTAAAAAAAAAAAATTATAGTGCCTTCTAATGGTACCTCAAATTGAATTAGGTACACAAATTTTGGAATTTTCAATTTCTCCAATTGTTAATTTTCATTTAATAAATTTATTATTTTAGAAATAAAGAAATTCACTAATTTGTAGTTAGTAATAGTATGAAATTCTTGAGTGTTGCTATTAGCACCTCATAAATTGATCTATAAAACAAGATCCCAAATCATGACCCAAACCCGCCTCTATAAGTTTGGCATCGTGACCGGCCAGTAATCTTAAAAGTACCGAAGGCCTCTAAACGAATTAAACAAAATACAAAGGCCAGCAAGCAAATACAAACATATAACGTTCATAGAGCTGTGTAAACATACATAAGACAAAAAATTTTAAACTTTATATACATAAATGTGACATCATATAAGCAATAGTCCTACATCATTTCACTTATAGATAACCAAAATGGGACTTAGCCCAACATATAAATAAAACAAAAAAAACTTAAACAAAATTCTGGATCACAAAACATTAACCATATGCAGGTTTCGAAACCTCCACGAAAGGCACTGTGGTTGGCTAGACAAAATTGACCTCCAGGCAACAACTTAGGCTTGGTCTCATGTCTGATCACCTATATATATAAATAATACGGTAAGTTGGAGCCCAATGAATAATAACAGAGTAAAGGTTTTAATGAATGATGTCTATAACAAATTTAGAATTCAAATTCATATTCAGAAACAGATATATATTCATATTCATGTTCAAGGTTCATATAATTCACATGATCATACATGGTACATCCATTAGCGTTAACAAATCCGATGACCCATAAAGGAACGGTCATAAAGGCATTCCGATGACTCATGTGCACAGAGACGTTTCCGAAGACCCATAAAGGAACACATATTATATGATGCTAAGGATGTCATGAGTACATTTCAGAAACTTGGACAATCATTCATTAATATGAAACATATCATTTTAGAAAACTGATCATTTCATACTATCAGAAAATAATTAAAATCAAACATAACTTTACAAAGTTATTACTCACAAATGGCTCCAATAGCAAATCAAATGAACCAAACAAACCAAACGGCTAAGGCGCGTGACCTACACGAACACATAGCAGATACATATTAAAACACACATTCGGAAAACGCTTAACTCATTTATTTATCCTCATTATTATATCTCAATTAAGGCTTAGGAATGCCTAAGATGCAATAAGGATGCCAAAAGGTGATTTCAAAACAGTTAGTCAAATTTGCTGAAAGCAAGGTCTTCGCTCGAGCGCAACTTCCTTCGCTCGAGCTAAGGTTCAAAAATAAGGGTGGTCGCTCGAACGCAACTTTGGTCGATCGAACGATCTGCAAAGTCTGCAAAAGTATTGGTTGCATGATTTTCACGCTTGAAGAATGTTCGAGCCAAAGACTAAGCAAAAAGGGTCTCCGCTTGTGCGCAACTTCGGTCGCTTGAGTGATTTGCAAAATTTTGTAAAACTTCTTAGAGCATGAATTTTATGCTCCAGCCAACTTTTTCTCGCTTGATCTAAAATGCAAATCAAAGGGTGGTCGCTCGAGTGTAGCTTTGGTCGCTCGAGCGATGATGCAAAATTCTAAAATTTTCAAATTGTTGTACAAGATGCAAAACTCAATTTCAAAGCTTTAAAACACATCCTTTGGGCCCAAAACTGGAGAAAACACTTGTAAACTTGTCAAACATTATGAATTAGAGATCATTTCACAAAATCAAGGCCCAAAAGCAAGTGAATTATTCAAAGTCAAACTTGAAATTTTCAAAATACAACATACATAAATTGTTATGAACTCAAACCTTCCAAAACATGATCAATTGAGGTCAAAAGGTAAGAAATGTGATGAATTCTTAAAACCAAGCTAGAATTACCACATGCATGAGAGAATTCTTTTGAAAACAACCTCAAAACTCCATGAAATGCACATGCATGCATGGTGAACTCTTCTTTCCTACTTTGCTTAGTTCATTCATGCATCTCATAGCTTAATTCCCTTGACTTCATGCATTAACCAACTAAATTACAAAACTAGAGGTTAGAATTCTTATCTTAGATGCTTAATTGTGTTCTAGATGTTCAATTGCTTGAGTTTCCAAGTCAAAACCTTCAATTTTCCTAGAGATTCTTCCTCTCCAAGCTTTGATCTCAATACTCTCTTGGTCTCTCTCTTTCTCTCTCTCTCTCTCTCTCTCTCTCTCTCTCTCACACACACACACACACACGTTTGGGAGCTCAAGATGACAAAATAAGAGTATTTCTAATGTTCTAGAATCAAATTAGCCTTATATAGGCTTGGTTTAATTAGGCTAAATTAATTCTTGCTTAGGCTAATTAACTTTGATTAGTTTATTCTAATTATTTGATTCCAAATTGAACTTCAATTAAACCTACCATAAAATTCTAAAAATCCCAAACAACATATAAGTCGAGTCACTTTCATGATCAGATGCCTATAAGGCCTTCAATTCACATAATGAAACAGAAACACAGACAAATCTTTCTACAACAAACAAATATAAATGCAAATAACATATAACACATACAATTAACGTAGAATTTCATTTTAATTACTTATTACACATTCTCAATCATGGATTATAGGCTAATCACAGGTCGGGATTGTTACAAAT